CCCCCCCCCCCTTCCCAGCTCGGCACGTCCCTGCGCAGAGCACTGGCCGGTCCCTCTGACGTGAGGCCCCCCACAGCAGGCCCCTCTGGCCACAGCCGGGAGCAGGTGGCGTGGGGGACAAGTGCAGTGCTAAGTGCAGGTCTACTACGTACGCTGCCTACACTTGGGCCTTCTCACCCTCTAGCCTGTGTAATCTCATTGGCTGCAAATTTGTTGCCCCCAACACTTATGGGCACCACTGAACCAGACACAGCCACGTGATCCTTCAGGGACTGTTTCCAGCTTGGAGTGGACAGGCCATCGCAGGCCCCTGGCACTCAGGACAGGGGAAGTGACACCTCCCAGCCTGCTGCCAGGCTCCCCTGCTTGTCTCGTGCAGGGTGTGGCCTGAGCCCCGCGGACACCGAAGGATCTCTTGAGTCCTGATGGGTGTCATTCATCTCTGTGCCCCTGCAGTGGACCTACCCAGGCCCCTGACCCACAGGAGGAGTCTAATCTGGACCACACCAGTGCCCACTAAGGGCCTTTTAGCGGGGGCTGGGGGACTTCTGGGGCCAGGGAACTTCCTTCCCAAACATTAGGCTTCTGCTCGCAAAGCTGCCTCCCCTTCCCCACCCCAGACCCAGCGTGGGGGGTGAGGTGGCCCCGCTGAACCCTCCACCAGCCGTTCTGGTGTCCAGCAAGCCTCCTTGAATTCAGCATACAGAGGCCACTCGGTGTGGGGTGAAGAGCTGTTAGACTCCAGCTTTAGCTCCCCAGCCAGTCACGTGACTCAGCTGGGCCTCAGTTTTCTCATCTGTACGTAGACATGATAGTCCCTATCTACCTCGAGAAGTGTGTGGGTAGCCGGTAAGCTGTGCCAGGGAAAGTGCTTAGAATGGAGCCAGGCACACAGTAAGTGCTCAATAAATGCTTGCCACGTAGATGTCTGTACCAAAGGCCTCCCTGCTCACTGAGCTATGCTGTCTCTTCAAGACACTGAGCTCAGAGGTGTGCATGAGCCTCAGACCTGCAGGCAGACGCACGGTCACCCCAGCCAGAACCTGGGACAGCCCAGCTTGGAGGGTAATAAGGCCACAGGGCTACACACAGCCAGGTGGGGTGTCTGGCAGTCTACCAGGGGTCCAGAGCGGGCAGACTCTGCATGCTGCTGTGGGCCAGAGGCTTACATTATCAAATAGAAAACCGGATTCGGCATGCACGTGGTGGGCGGCCATCTATTTCTACTTGCATCGCGCCGCCTTGGCCGTCAGATTGGGAGGCCTTCCCTCAGAAGCCCAAGCAGGCAGGCTGTCTGACTCCTGTGACCCTGCGCCTGGCCCAGCCCACCCTGCCCACCTGTTGATTGCTGGTGCAGAGTGGTAGGGAAGGTGCCACAGGCTGCCACTGATACAACCCTTCCTGGTGCCGGTTCTTCCCTGAGTCTAGCTGAGCAGTGTCTCACTGCAGGGAAAGGCCCTAGGTCTGTGTGGGCAGCAGAATGTGCCCTACAAGTAGAGGGAGGAGGCAATCCTCCTTCGAACAGGCACACTCCCCTCAGTTAGCACCCCCAGTGATCTTGTCTGAAGGACTGCCATCGTTCCCATTTTACAGATGGTTAAGGGGGGTAACCAAGCTCTTAGGTTCCCGAGCCAGGATCCAAACTCCACTCGCCTGACATCAAAATCCTAATGTCTGAAACAGTAAAATGCTTGGAAACTTGGCATTGTTTTGTTCCTTGAGCTGAGGTTGTCTTTCTGGGCCTCCTGCCCCTGCAAGATGGGTGCTACTGTCCCCACAATGCAGATGGGAACACTGAGGCTCAGAGCCCAGTGCAGCACAGGCAGGAAGTATGGAGGTTGGCTTTGTGGACTCCTGAGCGTGGTGGTCCTGCGATGGGGGAGGAGTGTCACCGGGGTGGGGTGGAGAGCAAGGTCTCCAAATGCAGAGAGGGGGCTGGCTCTGCGGAAACAAGGAGACCCCCTTCCTCCAGGCTGGTGACACCTTCTGTTTATCCTTAATCACAGGGAGCCGGGGACACTAGGGTCCAGACCCCAACACTCCAGGGGTGTTGCCGCCCCCTATTGGGAAGTTTCTCCCGAAGCCCACTCAGGCTCCGCAGCATTTCAGGACTGGGCTTCCCCCTCCGCCTGGATCCCGGAGACGCTCCGTGCCCCGCCCCCCCCAGGACACCGCAGTGCAGGCTGCAGGTGTGGCGGACCTGGGACCCACCGGACTCTCTCCGCAGGGTCTGCGGGCGGGGCTTCGGCGTGACGTCGCGGCCCCGGGCCAATGAGGCCGCACGGCCCCCGGGCTCTATTGCGCAACAAAGAGAACCCAGAACTTGAAAGGATTCCCGGGCTCAGGCTGCCGCCCCCAGGCTGCTCTCCGCCGGCGCTGCTACCCATCAGTCCCGCAGGGCCCCGCTCGGCCGCCGCCCAGGGCGGAGCTCTCGGCGAGTAGCCTCCACATCTCCGCCACATCCGCCCTCCACCCGCGCGGTCCCCGCTCCTCTGTCCTCTGATCCCCCGCCCGGCCAGGCGCGCGGTCCAGCCCCAGCGGGGCCCCCAGCTCTGCCCAGCCCCGAGGGCGCGTCCGAGCGTCGGCCGCGAGCCGAACTCTGACGGGACTGCGGTCCCGGACGCCTCCCGAGTTACTCTGGACAGGGGTGGGCCCAGGACCCCCAGACCGGCCATCCCCGCCCCCTGAAAGCCAGCCCCCCCCGGGGCGGCGCTGCCAGGCTCAGAAGAAGGGGCGGACCCCAGGGAAGTTACCCCTAAGGTCCCCAAGTTGGGGGGAGGGGTGCGCAGCCTTAAGCGGAGCCCGCGGCCATCGGACAGACCCCGTGACCTACCGACCACGGACAGCCCCACCCCCACCCCGCCCAAAGTCCTCCCGCCGGGGGCCCCCTGCTCGGCCGCCCCCGGGCCAGGGCGGCGGCGCTCACCCTGCATTCGGGCGCCCGGGGCTCCAGCTCGCTGCTCCCGCCTCCGGCTCCGGCTGCGGCTC